AGTAAAACAAGCCCAGTTTTGTACTGACAATGTGTAAGTAAACTGGGCCTTAGTCTCTTCAGTGGGTTCTGGATCTACACCGGGCTCTGCTTGCAGTTGGGTGTGCCCAGAAAACCTCCAAGAGGAGGCAACCAGAAGGCATCCTAATCAGACCCTCAACTAGCACCTTTCAACCTGAAGAAACAGCATCTCTGCTCCCTCTGGCTGACCATGCTCCACAGCCTCTAATCCTGAGCCCAGCTACCCCACTTTAGTGAGGAGCCAGCAGTGAGTTACTACTAACAGGTAGCTCTCCATCACACTGTGAGACAGATTATCAGTTTAAAACATTTCCAGCTTTTAGTCCGTTTACAGTGATGACATCTCCTTCCTACTCATCATCAAATGAAGAATTCCTGAGCATTGACTCACTCTTATTTCACGACCGGCTTATGAGCGTTGGTGTTTATTTCTCTTACGCAATGACAGCAGCTTGTCCATTTCTAAGTTTGTTAGTAGAATCTTAGTCTGTTTTTTCCACTTGGACACTTTGATTGTTTCTTCCCAACATTCCCAGGACATTCAAATGCTGGAATTTCCAGAACACTGATATCCTTTTCACAGTGTGTTATTTAACAGACGGTACCTGCTTGCGTTGGCTCCTCTGTTTGTGTTTCCTGCATCCCGTCCTCATCCCGCTCACTTTCCTGCTGCTGTTCCCCGCCTTCTTCTTCCTCACTGGGGGGCACTGGCACCACCTTTACTGTGATTGGTAGTCTAGACACAGTGCTGGCCACGCTCATAGGCCACACCTGTAAGATAAAGACAGCTGTTGTTAGTGTGTTGATTAAAATTTAAATACATCATGCAGATACCTCTATATCACAGCACCTTGTGTGTCTGCATGTGTTTCTTCACATTGGACTTCTGCGCGAAGGCTCGGCCACAGACGATGCACTGAAACGGTTTCTCTCCCGTGTGGCTGCAAGAGGGAAATTGTTTTAATGAATCCTTTATTTCAGCTTTAAAGTTGGTCGATTCTACATCCTGGAAAGCAACTCACCTCCTAATGTGCTGCTGGAGATCAAAGTTTTTCGAGAAGACTTTGTCACAGAAGTTACATTTGAGCTTCGGACCTTTTCCCTTGAGCTGCTCTGCTGAGGAGTCCAATTCAGACAATGAATACAGTTTATATAAACAGTTAATACAGTTTATATAAAGATCCATCATGTTGTCCTCTACAGTTCCATTAGGTAAAAACTGTAAAACTTTTCCACACGTACCTGCGACTCCATCTGAGCTTTTTTTACAGTTCCTCGGTCGCTTGGGAACGATAACCTTTTCAAAGTCACCCAGCTCCGCCATGCTGGCAGTGATGCTGCAGGTCTTGGTTTTGGTGCCCTGCTTCCCGGGGCTGTACACGGGAGGGGTGAACGAATGACTCTCCACACCCTGACTGGGCACCTGAGGAAGACACGCATGGTCACAGAAACTGGAAACGTATCATTTTAACCACTGCGACGGCAACCAAACAGCAAGCCTCACTCACTTGCACAGGATGGAAAGGCTGCAAACCCAGTGTGTGGATCTCAGCTCCACCCCCGCCACCCCCTCCACCTCCGACCATGTGGGGCAGAGTGCTGTACACCTGCACCACTGAGTTGCTGTGGCTCGCCGGGACCTGGGAAGTGAGTGTCTGCTGGGTGGGCTGTGCAGGTGGCAGGGGATGGGAGGGCGGCTGCTGCTGCTGCTGTTGTTGTTGTTGCTGCTGCTGCTGTGGGGGCTGCTGCTGCGGTTGATGAAGGTGATGGAGGTGGTGGTGGTGATGGTGCTGTAAGTAGGACACACCGGCTGTGTGCATGCTCAGGTTACTCTGTCATAAAGGAAGCGGACAGATTTGGTGACAGGATGTAATAAATTCAAATGCTGGGCGTGAAAGAGAGAAGGAAGCAAACAGTACCTGTATGGGAGTCTGCATGGGGGCCATGGGCTGGTCGATGGAGGTGAAGGCTGAGATGGCAGACATGAGGATGTCATCGCTGACGAGCACGTTGCCTTGGACCAGAGTGTGCGTCAAAGGGGAGGGAGGGACTGTGATGTAGGTGGACACCTGTGCGAGTGCCAAGTTAAACAGTCACATCAGCTGCTTTTTGAATCATTATAACAAAATCTTTTTTCCTTTACAGTCCTGGCCTCTTATATAACGTATTTATAAAATACTTTTACCATCAGGTCAGCTTTACCTCAGACCATTACCTCTTTCCCACTTCTCCTTACATTTCTTATCAGTTTTATTACTGCTTTAAGCTCTGCACTCTGCACAACTAACTTATTAAACCGAGCAAGTTATTTATCACCCCCACAGATAAATTGCCCTTTTGCTTTCCTCACCTGTCTGTTGGCAGGAGTCTGCGGTACCGAACTAATAGACGGGACAGGCGTGTAGGCATTGGTGGAGGCCAAGGACACCGTGGACAGAGAAGGGGTGCTAGACTGGCACTGCTCCCTCTTGTGCGTCATGAAAGCAGGCAAAGAGTTGAACTGTTTTTTACACTTCCCACACAGGAACACGTCTTCGTCGTCTGTATAAAGGTTTTAGGCAGCAAGAAACAGCAGACGGGGGAAAAAAAGACACACATGAGTCAATTTTGAGGATGTTAATGCACTTTTGGACATTTAATGGGTGGTGATATTCATCCTTTAATGTTTTTGCAGTGATGCACTTGGCTTTAATAGCTATTTTAGAGGAAAAGTATTTTTCAAAGACTGCACACGATGACATCATTTCACAGCAAAAAGTGTGCACCACCAGATAAATTAAACTAGCAGTCGAGTCTGTCACGAGGACCTCATTTTGGTTTGATGAACCAGCTAATAGCTAACTAACTAATAACACAACCGTAATAACGTGTCAAATTCTTGCCTCTAGATTCTTCTTTTTGTGTAAGGTTTTTGTTATGTGACACAAATATGAGCTGCAATAACATCAGGATGAAAAACATGTGCTTATAAACTGCTTACATTGTTGTAACTGACATTTACTTAATAAGCTGATCTGAAGACAAGACTTTTCAAGAACCTTGGTCTCTGCGATGATTAATCAAATTAAACTGAATCCAACCACCAGGGTCACTGACCGCCACCCAATCCACAAGGCACCGAACCCCTGTGGTACCTTTTGTTTGTGGTGGGCTCATTGTTGCTCATTCTGGCTATGCCTGGACAGGCCCCGTGGATAAGGCCTGACCACCAGGCGCTCTGCCTCAAGCCACATGTCTGACTCCATGGTTGGGCCTTGGTAACCCTCTCCTAGGCAGGGTAAACTGTTCTCTATTTTTAGTTCTTGGTATTGGGGTTTTCTGAATTGCTCTTTGTCTGATCCTCTTCCACACTGAAAGGAGCCAGTTGAGGTGATTCTGGCAAAAATACCTGCTACCTGAGGGATTTTTCCGACACATCCTCCCTTTAGAATGCACTGGGCAAAATCCAGGACAGAATGAAGAGAAATATCTCAGCTGGCTTAGGAATGTCTTGGTGTCCTCCTGGATTAGCTAGAAGAGATGGGCGGACATCTCTCCTTCTGCCCAAAAACCCAGACCCAGATAGGCGTCAGAAAATGGATGGATGGATGACATGTCTCTTGACATAAAAGAATAACAGGACAATGACACAGCCTGTCCCACAGCTGTGCATGCTATTACATACCCATAGACTGGATTGTTGGCGTCCCAGAGACGTTTTGGTTGTTTGGGTCAGGAACACCTCCTTGGCTGTCTAGCAGTGACTGGACTGCCAGCACTGTCTGATTGTCCATGCCTGAAGAGTAAGAAGAAGAAGAATTCACCTGCTGCAAAGATCCATTTTAGTCTGATGCATGACTGAAATGTCTAAACATGAATTAGTAGTTTTATCTTATTAAAAGAAAAATCAACTGTGATCAGAAGCAATATTCGTGTGGAAGACTAACAGCTTTCGATAAGGATGTCTCTACATCCACTTCAAATCTGCGTACAGTAATCTCCTGATACTGTACTCACTTACAATAACAATAACAGTAATAATCCATTTACAACAAACAGGCTGTTAGTCCAGTAATATTACAAAGTCTTGTCATTAAGAGGGCCTGAAGGAAAGAAAATCACCCTGAAATGTAAATACATTTACCATCTGACTGCAATACGATGACTACGATTAATAATAAGCTGTCCGTTAGGTCGAAAAAGTGTTTAATCACTTTGTTTGTTTACATTCATACAGAGTCCTTCCTATGTGCTGTTTTCCTGATTGAAACAAAACCAGAGGCTTGTACGTGGATTTACGTTATTTTTCTGCGTTTCCGAATGGACCTACATCAGTGAAATGTCTAAAGTAGGAGCAAACGTTTTGGGTAACTGTAATTACGCTGCAAATAAATAAATACTCATACCTTCCAGCACCTCAAATATTGCCTGCGCCATCTTGTAGCACTCCTACTGGGTGGTAGGCGCTCGATTACTTATGGCTGCCTCTTGAGGTAACTGCTTAACTAAGGAAAATCGCCTTCACCCAGATATGTTTTATTATTATTAATGTTATTATTGTTGTTGTTGTTATTATTATTATTATTATTATTATTATTATTATTATTAGTAGTAGTAGTAGTAGTAGTAGTAGTAGTAGTAGTAGTAGTAGTAGTATTATTATTATTTGTGAGAAACTCTTCTCGAACGCGAGACCGGCAAGAAGAACTGCGGTTAATAGTTTTTTTTTTTACTCCGACAACAACAAAAATGTAAATTTATATTAATTACAAACAACTTGCTTGACATCAGCCTAATAAACTAAATATATTTGCTTCAACTAAAATAAAATGCTTTATTTTCCAAGTTCCGCGAACGCGCTTGTCATCGATTAATCTGCGTTCGTAACGTGACAGACACCCGCTTCTGCCAATCAGAGCTCCTCGGCCCCGCCCCGCGAAAAGCGCACAGCTCGGACCAATCCCAACCGACTGCTTGGCGCACGTGTTGGTTTCGCGGCAAAAAAGATTTCGCGCGAAAACCGTCAGGGGCTTGTTTAGATGTAGATCAGCTGAGACAAAAACAACAATAAAGGACGATAACGGGGTAATGACGGCGTTTTAACGGGTGGATTGCGGCCGGGGTGAGCAGGCGAGGTCCACCGATTGTTATGTTAAACCGTGCGCTTGTTTTTCGCCGCTTTATGTGCTTATATTTCCAATTTTGTCGGACTGCTTCCTGCGTGCCCCAACAAAACAAGGGGATTGAACAACTGCCGCTAATAAGTTAGCTAACATGCTAATCTGCCCTATATATTCATATTCGACTACATCTATGTACTATCCGCTGGACTGATGCTCGCTTTTATAGATATAGTCTCAAAGATGATTTTAAGTTCCCGTGATGCTTTTTTGCTGCGTGGATATTTTGTTCTGATCGCTCACTTCTGTAAGCTGCTGTAAAGTTTTAATAGCCTCGTAACTTCGCTCGGTGTTTAATACAAGGAGAAGTAATATTGTTCTACCGGCGTGACCTGCTAGTTTGGCGGCTGCTCGAGTTTGTTTTGTGACCCTGTTCGAGTCTTTGTCATTTGGTTGGAAGCTAGCTCGTTAGCCGGGGTGGTAGCTGTTCAGGGGCAGTGTGGCCAGGCCTCGGCTCTACTGTACTGACAGGAGAGATGAAAACAAAAGGTTAGCTTGCTCCCTTTGCTAGCTTGCCTGAGTGGATTTCTCCCACGGCCAGTTTCGGACTGGTTCTCTGATAACTTATTCGCGGCGGAGCTTTTATAGTATGCATTTAGCAATATTTCATGTGCCAAATTTCCTGTTTGGCAGCACACCCTGGCTTGCTGTTTCAGCCTCAGCCTGAGTTTTAGGACGTGGCTTTACATTGCTGTGGTGTAATCAAAATGTGTAACAAAATAAAACAGTTTATGAAATGTTCCACCTGCTAATGAACTCGTTCGAGACAGTTTTCACGAGAATTCACCCTTGTTGCCTTTATTCACAAAAAAATGGCAGATGTGAGTCGGTGCTGATACTGTCATAACAGTACCTTAGTTTATAAATACCACAACCACCGCCACCCAAGTCCAGTGAAGAGGGGCTCCTGGTGACACACTGCAATGTCAGAGACTCTGATAACAGGGCAGACATCGGAGGATCTGTTAGCAGACTTTGAGACTTTGCTGAACTCTGGGAGTATCAACTTGGACGAGGACCACCAGATAGTGATTATCACCAGCCCCAGCAATGAAGGACTCCACCCAGCCCCTGCCCCGACGAGCACGGGGGAGATCCTGCTGTTCGCCACTCCGCAGGGCCCAGCTGACGTAGGGATCCAGGACAAGAGGAGACCGTCTCTGGGAAGGCCACCGGTGAGGAAGGGAGGTGTGGGAGGAAAGGGGAGAGAGAAAGTGAAAGAGCAATAAGGGAAGTGGTTAAACTGAGGAGTTGTTCGTTTACATACTGCACGTAGCAGAGCTGCTGTAAATTACCCACCTGTTGCTGGTATCAGTGTCACATTTCTCTGCTCGTAAACAGTGCGTGTCTGTGTCAGCAGTTAGTCTGTTACTGTCTTACGTCTGTTTCTTACTCCAGACGTGTGTTCCTTCAGGTAAAAAGGAAGTTGGACTTGGACAGTGACCATCAGTATGTCAGCACCACTCGACCTTCCACAGGCCAGGCACCGCTTTCCACTCCTGCTCCTCCCAGAGGTACAGCTGACAGCCCACACCCCACTCTAAAAAATCCTCGCCCACACATCCTTGCTCACCTTTGCTCTCAGTCATTGTCATAAAAGCAGCTGTTCTTTTATCAGCACGGCCTGTCATCCTGTCTCCTCCAGGCTGGCTGTAGTGAGAGAAACTTACAAATATCTTTCTATTCAAATAATGGAGAGACTGTTTTTTTGAGAATGGAGCAAGAGAAGAGGCGTTGCGATTTATCAGTTCATTTGATCCCTTTCATTTGCAGTATTTGGGCTCACTGCATGCACCAAAAGGATCAAATGATGGACTTGAAATGGAAAAGCTACACGTGACACACACATTATATTAATTGGTATAATGTAGAAATATGAGTCTATCCCTCATGGAAGATAGACTTCTGAATTGTTAGAAATGCAGTCCATGTGGATTTCCACTGGGATCTGTTTGGAAGGAGATTGATGCAAAGCAACTTTTCAGTATCAGTCATTGACGATATGCACAGTTGGATAGCAGAGAGGAGCGAGGGGGGAATTCTTTATTTTTATATATCAAAAGCACAGTGGTTAGCACTGTTGCCTCACAGCAAATGTGTCCTGAGTTCAGTTCCACCATCAGGCCAGGGTCCTTCTCTGTGGAGTTTGCGTTTGTGTTTGTGTTCTCTCCAGGTACTCTGGCTTCCTCCCACTGTCTGAAGACATTGTAGTCAGTGTGGGTTAGGTTAATTGTAACCCTAAATTGCCCATTGGTGTGACTGAGTGTGTTGTTGTCTGTCTATGTGTTAGCCCTCTGACAGACTGGCAACCTGTCCAGGGTGTACTCTGCCTCTCGCCCTAAGGCAGCTAGAATAAGCAGTAGCAGAAGAGAATGGTTAAGTTCTTTTGATGCTGAAGAGTCCCATTTTTTAAAAGTGACTGATAATCTTCATTTGAACCTTTTGCCCACCGCAAACCGCTGCCTCAGCTTACGCTCTAGACCAGTAATATGTGCATTTCTTTTCATTCTTGTATGTATTCTCTTTCTGCCCAGTTCCTCGGACCACGGCAGAGAAGTCTCGGTATGACACTTCTTTGAACCTGACCACCAAGCGCTTTCTGGACCTGTTGTCCCAGTCGGCCGACGGCGTGGTGGATCTGAACTGGGCGTCTCAGGTGCTCGATGTTCAGAAGAGACGCATCTACGACATAACCAATGTCCTGGAGGGGATCCAGCTCATCTCCAAGAAGTCAAAGAACAACATCCAGTGGCTGTAAGTGTGCAAAGACGCCTAAAACAGCAAATGAAAGAAATCTGGGAACGGGAGCAAGAACTGTGGCAGAATAAATTTGAGTGCTTGGTGTGTGTGTGTGTGTGTGTGTGTGTGTCTGGTGACCCTAAGCAGTCAGTTTTTCTCTCATCTACCCCTGCAGCGGTAATCGCATTGATGCGGCTCTGGTTTCCCGCCATAAGGAGCTGCAGAGGGAGGTGTGTGACCTCACAGATGCTGAGGAGCAGCTGGATGAGCTCATTTCCAAATGCAATCTGCAGCTCAGATTGCTCACAGAGGACCCACAGAACAAAAAATATCCTTTTTGTTTTGAGTATCAGGTTGTCTGAAGTGGTTACAGAGCTCTGAGTGTTGCCGTGTGCAGACTCGTCACGTGTGCACAGCTCTGTGATCTCTAAGTGATGAGCTGCGATCTGTTAAACGGAAAGCGGCTCTGGCAGCAGCAGTGGCGCCGAGCTGGACACGTGATGCTCGTGACTTGTGCGTCACTCAGAAACAGATGTCAAAAAACAGATGGCCTAAACATTTACATTAATGAATATATGAAATTATTCCTTAATCGCTGAGTTCATCACGTTGGGGTATGTGCGCTGTCAGGACTTGAGGCAGTCGTTCGATTCCCCCGACCAGCTGGTTATGGTGATCAGAGCTCCACCAGAAACCCAGATGCAAGTTTCGGAGCCCTCTGAGGTAAAAGCTTTGAAAACATTTTGCCCAGGTCACTGGACTCACTGTTGTTGGAGTTTCTGCTAATCTGCACATCTGCATGCACATCCCAGGGTTACCAGGTGTCGCTGAAGAGCACGCGAGGTCCGATCGACGTCTTCCTCTGTCCAGAAGACAGCTCTGGCGTCTGCAGCCCTGTGACAGGAGGCAGTCCCTCTAAACCCATTGCCGACCCTTCCCTTGTTCAACCTTCCACACAACCCACCGACCAATCACAACCCAGAACCTGCTCAACAGCCCTGGAAGTGGGTTTATCATCTCCAGCATCCACATCATCCACTGTAACAGCAGTGTCGCAACAGGACCCCTCATCACTGGTGTTAGGTGGCGACACAGGTGAGTGTTGTAAATAAACCACATTTATGTATTAATCTGTATAATTATCATCAGGAACTATTTTAAGGCCACTTCTGCCTCTGTATATCTCTGACAGTAACACAGTCTGTTTCCAACAACATTTATATTTTAGCCAGTGCAGACAAAACATGAGGGGAATGTTTGCCTCACCTTTCTTGGACTGATATATTTCCTGGAAGTTTTTGAAGCAAATATTTGCTTCACAGGTAACCGAAGAAGGAGAACAGCAAATAGGTGGAATTAGTAACATATCAAACTTGGCAGGAAATCCCACAATTTTGCTTAAATTTCACCAAGGACATATGGATGGCGGCACACTCCACGTCTCATAAAGTGCCGCTGCACTAAAAATAGTTTATCAGGATGTATCTAGAAACATACAGGAACACATTAACATAAACACAATGTCAACAGTGAACATGTAACATTGACATGATGTCACAGTTTGTTCTGATTATACAGAACTTGTGAGGCTTTGAGTTTTATAATAATAGGGTTCCCAAAAGCTATATAGATGATGATAATCCTTCCCATAATATTGTCCATATTGATGTAGGATTTAACACAGCAAAGCATAACTACATCCTGTAATCATTATTGTAAAATTAACACATTTTAGTGCTAAAACCCCAAAAAGGTAAATGAAGCTTAGATTTCTGCTATTTCTGTTACAGATTTGACAAAGTAAGAATAAATTAAAACTACTACCAATTATCCCAATATATACATTTAGTCTGGCTCAGTTCAAAACTGGATTATAGATGGCAGAGAGTTGGTGTCGTAAACCACCGCCTCTGTTCAAAGATGGTCGCTCACAGTGGACATAGATGGCTTCTTTCACTCCTCTTTCAAACCATCTGTCCTCTTTGTCCAAAATGTGAACATTGGCATCCTCGAAAGAGTGTCCTTGGTGACTCTTTCGAGACACTGTTTTCACTGCTGACACTTTGTGTCATCAAACAGGTGGCTTTAATTGTATTAATCAGTACTTGTAGAATGCAGTCATCCCCTTCCTGCTGTGCCACGTCAAAATGTCTACAGTGGAAAAAGCTTTGCTTGAGGCACTGCTGCTGAAGTGTTCCTGACTCCCATAGATAAAATATTATGCACACTGGTACCTAATGCAAAACTAAGAATAAATTGTTTTATTTATGGTCTTTAGCTTGGTTTTGATCATGGTAATGGACTTACTGTGCTTATTTCCAGCTCCATATTTTTTATTCTTGAGCTTTTCATGATTCATTTTGAAATAATTTTCACTGATCTTATACTGTAAGTTGGTGCAGCTCTTTAAACCTCTCTTACTGTTTCTTACATTTCTCTTTCTGTGACAGAATCCATCCTGGGAGGCGACCCATTCTCCAACCTTGGAGACCTACCTGATTTTGATCTCTCACCGCTCTCGTCTACGGACTTCCTGAACGGAGAGGGCCTTCCTCTCCCATTGGACGGTTTCATCAACTTGTCCCCCCCTCACAGTCACGACTACCACTATGGACTAGAGGACCATGAAGGCATCAGTGAACTGTTTGACTGTGACTTTGGTGACCTGTCACAAGTTTTGGGGGACGATTAGAAGTAAAAAACAAAAGAAGAGGAGTGCGTGGGCAAATGATTATAAATTCAGGCCTTCTCCTCAGTGATCTGGAGCTCCTTTAAAACAAAAAAAGAAGAAAAAAAAGAATGGGAATCAATATTTTATGGACACATCATTATCAAAAATGTAGTGTTTTCATTGTGGGAGTTTGGAGAAATGATTTGTGTATTGTTTTAATTGTGTTCCCCGAAATACCACCCTAACTAAAATCTCAAATAATTCCCCCTAAATTGTACAGCATATCATTAGCACTTCTCTTTGGCCATTCAAAAGTTTTAGACCAAGAGTTTAGCTTTAGAATAGCTATTTAAATTATTTATATGAATGTTATTTTCATATTTTGTACCTTGTGAGGTTTTTGTGTTTGATGTTTTTTCCCAAGCGGATTGTG